TGTATGTAGCATTAAACAGACAAAGTGAATTACTTGTACTATCATCTTAACTCTATCAATGCATGGAACATAAGAAAATGGCTTCCATTTTCCAAGACCCACTAGTCATATCTACAGGATTTAAATTCCATAAGAACAATCTTTTTGTAAATTCACGGTTATATTCCAAATTACTGCTGTTAAAGTTTGGAAAAGTGTCCCCAATAGTCCATAGTTTCTATGGTGGAGTTATTGTGAGGCAATGAACCTTGGAGAGTTGGAGTCCAACAGGAGGTGCTTCAGTTACAGGAGTATGTGTCCCCTTGAACAGGACTGTGGGACGTGGTCCCTTCGTCTTTCTCTTTGCTCCCTGACTCATGGTGTAAGGAGATTTCACTCCTTCACACATTCCCACCATGATGTGCTGCCTCAGCATGAATTCAAAGAAATGAAGACATCCCATAAAGGACTGGGAGGCAACAATTTTCTCTTCATAAGTGGATTATCTCAGTATTTTGTTACAGGGTTGGAAAGCTGATTAACACAACTAGAAAAATTGCTGACTCATGAGGAGAGTTTAATAAAGACTTCACTAATTCGCTGACTAAATTTCTGTGCCACAATGAAAAAAACATAGTTAAGTGATATATCATGTATTTGTAAATGGTAGATTCTGTTGGATGGTTTGGTGGTTTTTCTCTTCACTCTTTCCCTAGTGAACGCAATTGTAATAGTGTTGAAAATACAAAAATAATCATTATATATAATTTTTTTACTTATAGAAAATAAAAAGGACTAAAAAGAAGAATCAATTCTCTACAGCTTAAGTGAAAAATCAATTGTTAAGGATTGTAGGAAGTTTTAAGTGGATTCTGATGTATATACTCCTAAGGATTGGAGTGGTCATCCTATTCAACATCAGATATACATGATTACAGAAAGCTGTCAGATAATAAAATAATTTCCGGAAAGACTGGAAATGATGCATAAGTAACCTAATTTATTTTGCTCTTCTCTACAGTAGCAGAAAAATTAAGTAATTACCCACTACACAGTTTAATTTCAGCTATTAAATTCAATAGTATCTTATTGTGGCCAGAATTAACTTAATATTGTTCATATCTTTGTTTAGTCTGCTTAGGTAACAAAAGGAAATATTCTAAAATCGTCCATTAAATTCTGTCATTTCTTTCTTTGCAATAAACCTAGCTACTTGTGTTTTCCTTTGTATTTCCATAGCAACCACTAGAATTCAGGTTAGGGATCACTGTAATGCCATGTCTTCTACAACAGGTATCTAATCTCTCCTCTCTCTCTCTCTCTCTCTCACTCTCCCACACACTGTTTCTGCTTTTGTCTCTTTCTCTTTATTTTGTAATCTTTTTTTTTGGTGCCGGGGATCGAAGTCGGGGTCTTGCGTTTTTGAGGCAGGCGGCAGAAACACTGAGCTAAATCCCTGGCCCTTTATTTTGTAATCTTATTTTAGTTAAATATATATTTATATTAAAAGTATATGTACATGTTAAATATATATGCATATATACAGTTCTTCTTAGGTGTATATGTGGGATTGGTTCTAGCACTCCCACCATGGATAGCTAAATTTGTGATGTTAGTCTTTTATATAAAAAAACAGTATTTCCATATAACCTACACACATCCTCCTGCATACTTTAAGTCATCTCTAAATTTCTTATAACACATAATAAAATGTCAATACTGAATACTATCTGAACAATTGTTGTACTGTATTGATTAGGGGGTAAGGACAAGAAAAATGGTCTGTACACAATACAGCTGTAGTTTTCATTGTCAAATATTTTCTATCTGAAGTTGGTTGAATCTACAGATACAACACCTACAGATGCAGAGGGCTGATTATATAAATAATACAGTCTAATGATTCTTAGCTACAGGTTTCAGGGTGATGCTTTCTAATCCAGAACTTATGGATATTTCCTATTGAATGTCACTTTAAATTTAAAATCCTGAAGTCACTTTCCAAGTGCACATGTCACTGCTCTGGCTTTTACTATTGCTACAACAGCTTGATAACCAAGAACATCTACTTCAGATGAATCACTGTGCCACATGCTTACTCATTTTGAGAATGTAAAAAGATCACACAATGAAAGAAAGAAATACAACTGATAGCTATTTATGCACCACACACACAAAGAACATCATCATGACCTTTCTGTCTCCTGCCTGCCCAGCCCCTCCCACTTGATTAGAGGTAATCACCATCCTGAATATGTGGTAATCTTTCTCTTGTTTTTCACTAAAATGATACCACATAACATTATACTCCTAGTCAATATTTTACTCAGTTTCACATATATTGAGTTACATGAATAAAATCACACTTTATGTATTTCTCCAAGATTTGCTTTTATAGTTCAACATATTCCTGGGATTCTTCTCCAGCTGAGTATTTTTTTTTTCTGAATGAGTAAACCTGAATTTATTTATCCATCCTACTGTGACTGGAGTTGGGGTTTTTCTCAATACTTTTTTAAAGTTCAAACAATGCTACCACAAACATTCCTGGTGTATGTGGACAGCAGACAGCTATACCTAGAAAAGGGAGGGGGTTGTTGGCTTGCAGGTGACCATATAAAGAGGTGAGGACAAATAAAGCAGCAAAATATCCACTCAACAGTGGTGCATAAGAGCTCTGGTGGGTGTATATTCTCACCCGAAATTGTTACTCTCTGACTTTGTGTGATATTCCCCAATAGTAAAGTATCAAATTTCTTTATTATTTAGGTTACCACTGTACTATTTCTTATCATTAATATTTCTGATTATTAATGATGTTGAACACATTTTCATGTTTTCATTGGGCATGTCAAGTCACTTTGTTGAATGTATCTTCTGCTTCTATACTATTTTTTCCTTCACTTCGTTCTATGACTTGTAGTTATCTCATTAATATTCACCCTAAAATTATGCTATCTGTTAAAGTTACATAATTTTCTTTTTTTTTTTTTTGGTACTGGGAATCAAACTTGGGTCCTTGCACTTGCGCAGCAGGCGGCGAAACCACTGAGCTAAATCCCCGGCCCTATTACATAATTTTCATCTTTTCTCGTGTATGCTGTTAATATAATAAATGTTCTCCTAAATAATGCAATTGCTTCATCAAACATTTTGTTACATAGAGTTTTCATTGTCATCACTTCAAAATTTTCCTCTCTTCTACTATTTGTTATTTGATCTATGAATTTTAAAAATATTGATTAGCTTTCAAAGATGTAAGATATTTTAGTTAACTTTTAGTATTGATTTCTTACTTAGCTGCACTTTGATCATTTTTATTCACAGCTCAATATGTCATCAAATATAATCTTTCTTCTCATAAGCATGAAAAATATATTCTATACTTATAAGTACAAAATTCTACATGTTTATTAGCTGGGGCTAACAAGTTATTTAAATCTTACGGGTTTATAGATGTCTTTCTCTGCTTGAATAACCAAAAATGAAAGAAATATGTTAGCTCTCTCATTATCATAAAACATCTGGCTATTTCTCTTCATATTTTTCTTCCCACAGTACTATATTATAAATGCCTATTAAATTAATCTCCAGGAAGATGTTTTAGGATAAATGTATTTTGACTGACATTACTGTAGTTATATCTACCTTCCTTTGGATAACACTTATCTAGGATTTTTTTCATCTTTTAGTTTCAGTAATTCCATATCCTTATGACTTAGATGTGTTTTGCTGTAGTTTATACCTTTTTAAAACTTGCAATATTTATTTTATTTAGTTTTGGCATATATTAATTTGGCATAAATTTATATTTATTTTTGCCTTTTTATCTTTCTGCTTGCCTAACTTTTTTTCCTTCTTTCTTACTCTTTTCTTCTACTCCTATGTACCACATAGTTTGATAATCATTCACCTTTTCTATATTTTTAGTGTAATTATGAATTTTAGAATGCATACTTTAGTTATAGGAGTATAAATGATGGATAGTTCCTCATGTATAATTATATACAGTGTTTACAATTTAAATACAGTGTCATTGCCTAACTTAAAGAAAAACATTCTTTACATTTTGTTTCTCTAAACTTTGTGTATATTCTGCCCTATCCAAACCGCAAGTATATACACTCTCCCACCTCTAGGACTTCCTTTCATTTATTTCAATTTCTAGGGCTTTGAAAGAAGAAACTGTTGAATAGAAGCTGACTGACCATTTTACATATAAGAATTTATCCTATGAATCTTTTGGTTAGAATTATATAAATTTAGGAAATTTAAGATCAATGAAAGTAAAAGACCAAATACTAAAGATAGTTAGCATGTATCTCATCACATATGCAAAATATGCTAATAATTCAGTAAATTAAGATTTCTGAAAATTGTTAGTTAAGAACACACTTAGTGGCAAAATGTTTTACAGTATGGCATGATTTTTATTTCTAGTAGAAATTACCCATAGCTCATTCTCCTCTCCTAGTGGGCACACATTATTAAGTGAGACAATGCAACTTGTTTTGCTACATCTAACAAAATGAGTACAAGTTACCTGGTAATTTGTCATTGGGGGCATTTAAGAGCCCATATACAACTGTTTATGCTCTGTGTCACAGACTCTTTGACACAGGTTGCATGTGCCATATGATACAACCCAAGGTTGATGGTGTCTCCATCAGCTAGAAGCACCTGGAAGGTTGCATGAAGAGCTGCCCAGAAGAACTATCAGACCCACAGTGACCTCTGTTATCAAGAAGTACCTTTGTGTTGACCCAGGAGCATTGGGATTATCTTTACTGCAGATTAATTTAGCTGAATCTAGCTAATAATACATTTAACTTAATTCTCACTATGTAAGGCAAAGAGAATATTTCTCCTATGTTAGATCTAAGGTTACTGAAACACAGCAAAAAAACCAGATATAAGATTATTAAATTAATAATGATTAATTCCACCAGAACACTATATAATACCTATTTAAAGCTTCATTAAAAATAGTTACAAAATGAAAACTCCATTATAACACTTACTTGGAACTATAAATTCTATTTCTTCTGACATAGCAACTCCTAGCTTATTAGAAGCATAACAGCGATATTTCCCTTGAAAATGAGATATGTGCCCTTCATTTGGAATCTTGAATGTTCCTGAATTATTAGATGCAATTATCCGAGCGTCAGAAAGATCAAAAGGCTTGTCATCCTTAGTCCAGGAAAATCTGTAAGATAAAAAAAATTCAATAATCCTAAAAATTCATACTGCTTCTCAATTTTAAATGTATTTATACAGATTAACAAAACCAAGACATTAAAATGTATAGAGTAGATAATAATAGAATATAAATAATGATCTCAGAAGAATCTGAAAAATCTTATAAGCCATGAAAATGCATTGACAACTGAGAGGATAAAATTGAAGGTAGGATTTGTTCTGTTCCTTTTAAATTATAGTTATTTAAAAATATGTTTCCAATTAGAAATGCAATGTGGATTATTATTACTATTTTAAAGAGCAAAAAAAAAGATTGCTATGCATATATATAATATGCTTTGGGGTATATATGTGTACAGAGCTTATTCAAAATGAAGAAACACAAAATCAAATTTTATTACTTGATTCTATTTCCTACTAGCACTTTTATACTTATCTGTCATATATTTAAAACCATGCTAACTTAACAACTTTGCCAACTGAATTGTTTCAGTTTTACACTGGTACTAAAAACAATCTTTATGCAAACATTATCTTATGTTTTATAACAGTTTTATTTACTTAACTATCTTTACAATTTCCTTTTAATTGTGATAAAAAAAACTTACATTTTTTTTTAGCTCTTGTCCAAATATTCCTGTAGGACAATTCCTTAGAAATAAGATCAGTTGCCTGATAGTAAACGAATTTTTTACAATTTTTGGTAAATATTGAAAAATTTTATACTAGAAAAAGATACACACTGTTAAATTCTGACTGCACTATGAGAGCCTCAGTTCTGTGGACAATGATGTAAAAAGCTGTATGTAATGTGTGTAAAATAACCAAACTTTATTTTCATAAACATAACTATCATTTACTTGGAAGCCTTGAGGTTTAATCATGTGTAGTTTTATAGTTCCAAAAGTTTGTGATAGTTGTATTGAAAAACAGCATAAAGGAGGACAGCATATATGTAAAGAATTGTTCAGTTTGAAGAAATACTCACACTGGTTCTGGATTTCCTTTAGCTTCACATTCAATTTGAAAATACTCATCAAAGGGAAAGGCAACTTGTACTTTTGACTGTTTTATGATTGTTGGAACCTGTTGAACTAAATGTTAAAAGATGTACTTAAAGAACAAGCCTTTCAAAAACCGAAAAAGTTTAACTTACCTATAACACACAATTCAATGTGCTTTCCCTATTGGTAATTAAAAGGGTCATACAAGACTGAAAAATCACAGAATATATCTGTCTTCTTCCTTGCAAAATAGATTTTACTTTTAAGAAATATACTTGCCGGGCATCATTTTATGTCACTGTAAGTATTAAGTTTATTTAACCCCCAAATCATGTAACAATTCATAAAGCAGAATAAAGTTTTATTGAATTTTTTTGGTTAAATTCTTTTATCTGTACATTGTAGGTATACAACACAATTACATTTCTCATTGGGAATTGTACCTTTACATAATGCATCTTGGTTCTTATTTTTCCCCATTCCTAGCCCTCCCTTCACACCCTCCACCCTTCCCTATTTACAAAGACTTTATTTCCATTTTTTCCATTTCTCATTATTTTTCCTTTCCCTTCTTTCCTTTCCCCTGCCCTTCCCACTACCCCTACCCCTTTGGACCTTTTCTTCCTATTTTGCATTATCAATTATTCATTCTAATCATTGGTACATTTTAGGTATACAATATAATAAAATACTTATTTAAAAATCATTGACATTCAACCAGGCATGATGGTGCACACCTGTAATCTCAGCACTTTGTAGGTAAAGCAGAAGAATTGCCTGGAGCTCTAGGCCAGCCGTGGCTACATAGTGAGTTCAAGTTCAGCCTTAACTACATAGGGGAAACTTGTCTCAAAAAAATCCAAAAAATAGTACAAATTATTGCCATTCCATCTATGCTGACAGGCATATGCAATTTTCCTTATTTCACTGATTGTGAAAGTAATAGTTTCCCATGATTCTATGCAGACATAACTAATTTATTGTTTTTACATTGTTTCTTCCTATTGATGTGATATAATTTGTTTGATAATTCTCCTATTATTGACAATTAGATTCTTTTCCATTTCTTTCTTTTCAGGCAATATATTTCAACTGGTATCTTTGAGCACAGAGATTTTTCTTTTATGGAATTAAGACTTATCCTAAGTTTCTTTGCATGGTCAAAAATGGCAATGATTCTTGATAAGTACGAAGATCCTTTCACCACATTTACCACAAGAGTGCATGATTACATTGGTTCCTGATCTACTTACCACTACCAAACACTAGCACAGAAAAATGATAAAAAAGTACTATTTATTACAAAAGAAAATATACCATTCTCATTCTCTTTATTTTAATTTCTGTTTATTACTTTGGTTAATCCTTTTTCATGAGCAATTTTAGTGTTTGTCATTTTCCATTTATAAATTTTTCTTTCTCCACTTACATATTGGGAATTTGAGTTATTTTATTTTCCCTTATAAAATTTAACCTATAAATAATCACTGATGCAAAAAATACAGCTAGCTTTAACGTGTTTTTTTCTTAATACAGTCTTCATATGCAATTATCCCCTCATCTTGTAATAAACTGATAGTGTTTGGCAATAATTAACCCTCAAGACAAATAATATTTTTGAAGTAGGCGTTAACTTTGCCTCTCACCTCATCAGCTAGGCTACATTTCTTGACTGTCATGACTATGCAATAAATCCACTGAAATATAGATAAATAAATAGTTCTAAGTTTGAAGATACCAATTTGGATTAAGTTTTTAGATATGATACAGACAGTGTATGGGAAGATCTACTGTGGATAAGCACTCAGTATTTTTTTAAAAGTGAGATTCTTTCTTTCTTCAGTACAGTTTTTAGAACCTCTATATCAGGTCACAGTGTTGAATTCATAAAGAAATGTAAACTCTTCAGCAGCAGGAACTGACTTTGGCAAATGTATTCTCAGAAGTGCAATTTATAGATAGGCATAGAGTTAAATAGTATTCTGTAGTTGAGCTGTAAATGGGACTATAAAACCTGTGAGGATGGGAATGGCCCTGACTCATTATTTGTTTTCACATTTGTGAAATTGAGGATTCTGCATAGATGTGTTATTTGCAAGCATTTTTATTAGGACTCTATCAATTTCTCATTATAAGACAAACTATTTTTGTAGGCTATTGACAATAGTTACTATATTAAAAATTAAAACAAAAATCTTTAGGATATTGATTTATGAATTCATTGAAAATGTCCTATGTTATAACAAATAACATTTATGAAAAAAATACAAATATCTTGAGAAGAGTAGCATTACATTATATTATTGTAAATCTCTTTAATTTCTTGAGAGGGAAACTGAGTTCTCATATCTGCTTCTACTTCCTTTCTGTTGCAGTAGGTCAATTTGTCTGAAGTTATGAAGACATCAGCCACAAACAGATATGTAGCCGAAAAACTACTGGTTGTTTTCAGTCCTTTCTGATGATTGAAGAAATTTTTTTCTGGACAATATGCCAAATTTCAGCAAGTGCTAGTTTGTTAAATGTTCACTGTTATGTGAAATTTGAAATCTATCAATAAACTTTTCAGGTTCTGTTACATTAAATAATGTTATCCATTTTTTTAATCCATTTTTAACCTATGCATATTTTGTAACATTGCAAAGTGGTCATCTGAGAAAAATGTATTGGCTCACTAAATTATATAGATCTTCATGTATTGACACATTTCATTACAGAATATAAAAATAACTTTTGTTAAAATTACCATGGATCTAATCAGAGAAGTCATGTATTGCAAAGCTCTCAGGCTCACAGCAAGGGATACAAATTTTCCACAATGTTGATGTTTGCTTGGAAACTCACATTTTATCATTGACAGCACACACTGTCATTTTATCTGAAAGTGACAGGGTTGACTGGTTCCTTTTGGGAAAAGTATCTTCCTGATACACATTTGAGCAATCATAATTTGTCTGTCAGTTATACTTATAAGTAAAAATAGTATTGTGTCTCAAGCAATGGCACAATCAAGGAACAAAGACAATCATCCTACTTTGATACAGCTGAATTATTTTATGTCTACTGTCCAGTTCATCCCAATTTTAGAAGAAATGTACTCAAAAATGGAGAATTCATAAAGTTAACATTGTTTAGTGGCTTCGACAATTACAACCTTAGCAAAACTGTTTGGGTTTATTCTGTCTTTTGGATGTTTTCATCAGTCACAAATAGCAATGAAGAATGGTTTGAGTACTAGTGCAGTTTGGTGCCAAAGTCTTGACCAGTGCTAGGGTAACAGCAGTTTTCTCACTATTGCTTTCCTATATCCATATATGTGACAGTGACAGTGAGTGGCATCTCAGTGCTACTTTCAAAAGAGCTTGACCTCATAGACCACCTGAAAGTACAGTGCCTCTGGGACCTTAAGGAGTTCATGAACCGCACTTTCAGCATTGGTAGTAAATCTAGAATAATAATTAAATGCCCCTTCCAATTCTAAAATTCCATTTTCTTTACTTTTGTCTAATAAATCTGATAAGTGAGTATTACTGGCTTACAGATACTAATGCAAAATTCTCCTGTCAGATATTTATAAACATTGAGTAACATGCAAGAAATATTTATATCTTCATTGACATTTACCTTTTTTCTGATTAAGTAAGTGGAGTGGGGCTTGAGCTTGTCACAAATTTGTATTATTTAAATTATATTCAAGTTATAAATGGTAAGGGATGACACACAATGGCAACAATCCCTAAGATATCTGCTAATAACTTGAAAACAACTTGTTCATTAAAACATTATTCTTTGTTAAATTTGCTAAGGTTGTAAAGGCTTAGCAGCAACTAATTATTCAGGGAATGGAGCTAATAACCTTTGGGTGTTTGTATGAATATATATTCTATGTTATAAATCCTTTCCTCTATAATTAGCCCAATTACAGAGACACCAGACTCGTTGACATTCAAATTGGGTACCTGTCTTGTCTATATTTATTAGTGAGTGCTCTAGGGTGCTGAAATAAATGGATAATATTCAGTTGTTCTAAAAACTTGTCATTAATATTTTCTAACAATTGTGGTCTAAGGCATTGCAGCATGAAAATGCATAAGTAACTGAGACAACCAGAATAAAAATGTGCACTATGGATTAATACAAAATTTCACACCCTTCACCACTGAGGGACAAGTGGGAAGAGATGGAGACTTAATGTATTTGTTAGAGAATATGATCAGAAAGTTGAATCGGGAAGGCCAATGCCAATTCTGTTGCTTTTAACTTGAAATTTCATAGTCATACAAAAGAATCCACTAAAGAAGAGATTTTACAGATTCTCAGAATGTTCCTAAGTAGACTGGCCAGTGATGAAATCTGATACATTGTATGTAGGCTGAAAGACTACAGGTAAGTGTGTAGAGAATTTACATCTGTACGTCTATAGAACAAGTGGAAATCCTTAAGAAATTGAAACACTAAAGCTTATTTCTCTGTTAAGAACCATGGACAAGGGATTCTTAACTGGGTGTGGGGTGGAGATGTGCAACTACAAGTGCATACATAATGTAAAACTGCTACATCAAGTAATTGAAAACTGTCCTTAGAAATGATTTTGAAACACATAATATTATAAAGTCATAGCATTATTTTCTTTTCTATTTGCATTCAGTCTGTCTGATTACTTCAAGAGGAAAATTTCAGCTCAGTATTGGCACATTTAATAAATTAACATGTATTAAATTTTCTGACATCTAAAATGTCTAGAATTTAAATAATTCACAATGATCATTTCCAATGCTAAGATTCTAATATAAACAAATTCTTCTTGTATTAGAACACCTCAAGTTATACACATAAATGGCAAAAAGAATTATAGTACTACAATATATGATAAAAATTTCCAAATAATCTCTCAAGGGCCTTGATAACCCATATTCTTATAACATAAGAAAAACTCTGGAAACTTCCACATTACAAATTTGATATGTTATTACATGAATTGCTATAGACTTCAGATGTCTCATTTTTAAACTGTTAGTTATCAGAACTTATATAGACTGATTTATGCTAGATAAAAATTTGCATCCAGTTTTATCAATATATCCCAATATATACACTGACTAATCTCCTAATTGGAGATTATACTATATTATTATACTATATTATATTATATAATATATATTATTATATATATTATATATATATTATATATTATTATACTATATCATACATTCTATTTGGAGTTAGTTTATACTTTTAGTTGTAAAAGATTATTTGCTATTTTTGTAATTCTGTATTTTCATTTTTAAATATATATAATCATTCTGAAAAAGAATACAAAGTTTATTCAATTTCTTTCTGTCACCATTTGTTGAAAGCCAGTATCTTCTAAATCATAATTCTCCTCAAAATAAATCAACCCTCACATATAAAACTAAAATCTGTTTGTAATATTGCAGACTGTCTTAGATGTATTGCGAAAATATCGTCTGTTGTATGGGTTATATTTCTTGTCATAGGCCAAGTTTACATAAGAAGCTATATGCCTGAGCTACAAAATAATTATGGCAGTCAAATATCAGCCACCAAAAGATAAATAGAGGAAACATGAGTGGTGATAACACATTGATGGAAATATACATAAAATATGATTTTAAAAGCTTTTTTCTCCGTTTACAAATATTCTACTTAAAAATTAAAAACAAAATTACTTGGTAGGTATTGAAAGTTGTCACTTTACCTGAGAGCGGTATTTCGATTGCTGTTGACAATTTTAACACAAGAAAAAATAGTGATAGGATTAATCTTTTTCCACTTAAAATTTTCGCCATTGCTCTTCAGGAAGTAGACAACCTAGAAAGATTGAAAATCTTAATGTCTTCTCCTACTTTTCATTTAAAGCTGAAGAAAATGTGAACAACCTGAAAACACAAAAACAAACAGAATAATATATTAGCACATATACTTTAAGATGTCAAAAGAACAGAAATTGAACATATTTTTCTATTTACTATTTTATTGAGCCTGGTCTCTAATAATTCCACAAATATATAATAAGGGTTTCCCACTTCTATTTAAAAAATGTGTGATATGCTGTAAACCATAAACTATTTCAAATAAATTACATTTGAGAGTCAGAGGATGTTTATCTGAAAGGCCCTTGAGTACACTGTAGTGTCAATGACTATCAGAATAATTTCACTTAGTTACTTTCTTTCAAAGGTAGCTCTTTTTCAATCAATTATTTACTACAGGCCCCTAACCCTGTTTAAGTCATTATGATGGTTTACAAAGATAAATCATGTATACTTATGGAGAAATAACTTTTCAAAACAGAAATTAAATATTTCCAAAAGAATATAAGGAAAAGAAAAATAAAGAACAAATGGATAAGGGCTAGCTATTTTAACTAAAATTTACAAATGTGGGTTTAGTTCAAGCACAAGATTATGGTGTCAGTTGCTTCCCATTAAATAGGATGTTTATTGACTAAAAAATTTAGAGAAATACAATAAATATTAAGATTTAAATTTTTCTTCACTTTCTTTACTGAAAAATAGTAATAAACACCTATCTAAATATTATTTGTAATGTATTCTCAAAAATAAAGTTAAAATGGTTTGCTCCAAAATGTGATACTTTTTCAAATATATCATTTTCCTCTCTTTGCCCTAGATCAGTTACTGTACTTTTTCAGCCACAAATGATGAAAAAATATAATGAATACAGAAATGAGAGAAGACACTAAACTTATATTTAATTCCACGAATTCTGGCTTTTATATTTTACCTCAAATTGTAACTCTAGCAATTATAGACCTTTTTTTTTTTTGCTATGTATGTAAATATAGGTCAAATATAAAGTAATAACTAATGCAATTCTTTTGTTTTATGATTCTGAGAATCTTCCTTCATACAATGTCATCATTTATCTGTTAATTACCCTTTTTTTAGTTTCAAATATAGTTTTTTTTCATTAAGTTTATTGGTGCATTTTAGGTCTACAATAGAGTTATATTCATCTTTGGGAACTTGTACCTTTATACGATATATCTTGATTCTTATTTTTTCCCCATTCCCCTAAGTGACAGCAGTCCGACTTACTCTTTTAATTTGAGAAAAGTTACTCTGATTAGGTAGAAAAACTTCCTTGCATTAAACCTTTCCTCCTGAATGTTATAAATTAGTATAACAATATTGCTTTACTTTGTTTGACCTCAATTGTCTCATCTGTAAAAGTGGAATTGGAAAAATTATACCTTCTTGCTTCAGAATATTTGGTAAAATGACAAATTATATGAGCAATTTTAAATACTTTCAACTGTATCACAATATTGGCACCCATTTTCCTTAGGAAATGAGTTATTTTAATAAAGAAAATAATATGCAGAAAACATTCCTTTAATTATAAAAAAGAGACATTGACTGAACTACAGAAACTGAGCTCTTCTTGTTTTTTCAAAATTGGGAGACACTGAACCATATATGTTTTTCAAAGATGAAAAGTCTAAAGAAAATTAATACCTTCAGATTTGAATTTTATGTTTCCTTTGTCTTCTGAAATAGTTTTATAATAGTCATCTAAATTAATTGTTTACAGTTACATATCATTCTTTACCTGTAATTTATCACTTAATATTCTGTCTCATTAATATTCAATGCTGATTGCTTTAATAGTATCTCATATGTGTGTCTAATGAGTTACTCTCTATTTGTCAGAAGCAAGGCTTTTAAAACCATGATGCTATTAAGAGACTATATTCCAGATTAATATTTCATGTATCATCCTACCTCGAAATAAGGACAGCCAAATAAGCGAGAACAGGCTTAATTTCCATTACTCTCCTGTTTTAGGCTAGCAAGTTCAATGATCTTTAATTGCTATAGAACAATACCTCACAGGCTAATTCTTCAGTACTGCTGATCTGGGGTTGGAATTGTAATGGTATTAAGTCCATGGCCTTAACTCAAGAAATTCTATCCCATAAAAAGATTCCAGATTGAACCCCTGCTATAAAATAAGACTATGAAGACTATGTATTCATAGATCTAACAAACATGGATGACATCATCACTTTCCAGAGTATAGATAATGGTGAATTCTACATGTGACCTTATCTCCTGAAGAAATTGGCTTCAATTTGCTGACATTTATGTATGCATACAGACTGTAAGACTGTAATTATTGAAAGTTAAAGTGTGACCCCCTGCAAGGACGATTCCATTAGGTAATGAAGGAAGCCCCCCAAAGAGTTTTGAAGCTGAAAAGGAAAGTCAGACTGAATTTCAGTGTCAAGTGTGTAAGGGACATTGTTGAGTAATTCTGTTTGCAACACTAAGACAGAGGTAAAATTATATCCCTATTTATCTTCTTTGAGAGCACGAGAAATGCCTCACATCAGACCTCAAAGATAAAAGCAATTATTACATGTCAGGATGGATCTGGCACTTGAGAGAAGAGCAAAATATACTAAAATGTTTGAAACCTAGTCACATAAATCTGAATACTATTAGTTTATATTAATGATATTAACACATATCTGAAAACAATTCAATTACCTTTTATGAATCTAGATAAATTGGTTTAACTCTTGACTCCCTCAATTCATCCTTACAAAGATAAGAACTATCCTTGCTATCTAAATGAATGGAAATTAACATCTTAGGATGTTAGCGTACAACTGACCCTTCCTGACTGCCTCAACTTCTCTAGCTTGACTAATGGTGTAAGAATTAAAAGCACAAAGCCCACCTGTAATCCCAGCACTTTGGTAGACTGAGGGAGGAGGATTGCAAGTTCGACTCCTTCCTGGGCACCTTAAAAGTGAGATTCGGTTTTAAAATAAAAGGGCTGTGGCAGTAGCTCAGTGTTAAGGGGTTAGGTTCAATTTCCAGTATAGAACTATAGAGGAGGGATAGTTAGAAGCACACTGGTTTTGTGACATTAGCATAAAAGTGGACAACCATCCATACATCATAGTACTATTTCCAATGCAACAATAAGGAGGTAAAGTTCTTTGTTTTTTTCAAACATAGCCTGTAATGTATCATCAATATTATAAGGTGACCTCAGAGATCCTTGTGATTTTTTTGGAGGATGGTACTGGGGATCAAACTCATGGCCTCGTGTATGGTAGGGAAGAGCCTAGTGTATTTAAGAGTTATATGGTGGAAAATATAGAAAAAATTTATTTCATTAACTGAATTCATCTTCTGCCTATAGTAATGGAAGGGTGAGTTAGCTTAGCCTTTGTGAATTTTTTCTGGTCTCTTAAGCAAAAACCAAGCTATTTAGGCCTGCTGACCAGCAAACAGGAGAGAGTAATACAGAGAAAATAACAGGTAGAAAATGGAGTCAGTATAAGAGGTGACTTGATATATGGTCTTGGGTCATTAATTTGACCTCTCTTATTCATCCCTGTCAGTGCATGAAATAGTTGCTGCACTATAGCATATTTATGAGGCTTAAGTGAGATCATGTATAATTAGCACAGAATAATAAATGAAATTTATGGAAAGTTCTGATAGTAGTGTCATTATGTTCTTAGTAGTAATAGGATTAGTCTAATAATATCTAAAGAGTATGGTTAACTTGCATGGCTTCTGTATAACTTAGTATAGAAACAAAGTCAGGACAACTTAAAAAATAAAAATGCAGTTTCTAAAGCATTTAGTGGCAAATTGTGGTAGATTGATGCAAAAGCTTCCTCACTTCTCCCATTCTTCTCTTTGTGCACTTTTAGGATGACTGTACAGCTCCTCTCCAGAAGCCATTTCCCAACCTCTGGAGAATGGCAAGCTCCCCACCAACAGAATGAGTTCTGCCTCTAGGTCTAGAGAAGCCCTGTACTTTTTATTCTTTGTCTTTCTATCTCTGGAAACCCTGCTCAGTTATGGGAACAAGCTGGGCTCCCTGCCAGAAGGTGATAGCTGCATTGTATGCTACTCTTGTAATCCTGGGACAATACCCAGGCAGCCAAGAAAGGACGGCCATTCTAGCCCGGTGAGCCCAAGGTGACTGGCCAGCTGAAGACAGGCATGAGAAGCAGCTCAGCCAGTATCACTCAAGACTGACTGAGCCCAGAAGATTCATTCAAAGAAATAAAAGACCTACAAATAGTAGTTTATTTTTCTTTTTATTAAATCAATTAATCTTGGGGTAGTTTGCATGCAGAAAGAGCTATTTGATAAGAGAGGGTAAGATAAAAGAATTGATGAAATATTGGTGATTATTGAATCTGTGCAATACATGAATAATAATAATAATAATATGAAGTTCTTCATATTATTTCTCTATTTCAGGTATCTTTTAATATTTCTACAACAGAGATATTTTTAATGTCCTGGGCTATTGTTAATAATAATCTGAATAATGATCATTCCTGAATGACCACTCATTCTGTGGAAATCAGAAATCAGCCTAAAATATTCCAACAACAATAAAGAGATTCCTTTAGGCAGACACTGGTCAAAACTATAGAAATTATCATAAAGAGTATTGGCATTTATTTAAAACAAAAACAAACAGAAAAAGAGACTTTCTGAAGTATCTGTATCTGTTTCGGTGGAACCAGATTTAGAAGATTTGGAGTCTGAAAGTTAGTTAGAGTGTCTGTCCCGTGTTTTTGCCAAGTAAATTAATGTAACTCGATGTTTTTTCCCCTTATTTGTTTAAGAGGTGGGAAAGTCTCGGCTCAACTAAAGAATTAAACCGAATTCACAGTAATTATTTAAATCTTGACAGCTATTAGTAAATACTTATGATACATTTTCATCTATCTTTTGTGATTTGATTCTTAATTTACCAATTTTGCAATGTCTCTAATGAAGAAAGTTTTAAATTTTATTAATAAAATATTGAGAGGTGAAGATGGATAAAAATGATTTAAGAATAAAGTCTTACTTTGGAATACATATATATA